CCATCTCGTGATTATATGGCTGCCATCTTGACAACTTCTTGAAGATGTTCCAGCCCAGGCTTTGTTTGCTATAAAAAAAGAAAAAAACAGCTTACTTTTCTTTAGGAAAAACAGTTAATAAACTTTTTTTAAAAAAAAAATGTGTGTAATTTTCATTCTGAGCATTATAATGGAGTCTTCTTGTTTTCTCCAGGGCTGGAAGTCGCATGTCCATCCTAGTTGCCTTGTTCATAATGGCATTCTTTGGCTGTATCATCAGCCTGGCTTCCCATTTCTATGTTTACATCGCCCTGAGATTCATTGTGGGAACAGCTCTGGCTGGGATCAGCATTAGTGTTGCAACCTTGAGTAAGTCCTAGAAATCCAGCCTCTGAAGAGATCACACCCTCCGCTTTTCAAACAAATGTACCCTAACTTTATTGTTTTAAAAAGATTTCAGAAAATCCTCGGTATATTAAGATTTGGAGAAACTCTGCTCCTTCCTTCTGATGAGTGCATTTGGGGTTGGGGATCTCTGGGGTGCACAAAGAGCCCAGAAGTTACTGAATCAAAATGTAAAGTTGTTCAGAGGCAAACTTTTATTGCAGACTGTAAAACGAGTCATTCATTCAATGTCCAGGGTTGGGAATGGATTTCTGCATGGAAAAATGGAAGTAGGTGGGAAAAGTTTCTTTGTGAAGAGGCTTGAATGTTTTCCAATTCTCTTCAGGTTCAGAGTGGGTCGGCCCATCGTACCGTCCACAGGCACTGATTATCATCCATTGTGCCAACGCGTTGGGTCAAATGGCTCTAGCTGGCATAGCATACTTTGTCCCTGATTGGCGGCTGTTTCAGATCACAGTCTCGGCCCCTGCCTTTCTCGTCTTTTTCTACTCTTGGTAAGTCTTCTGCATTTATGCTGGAAGGAATTTGCATCTTCAGCCTTTTGTGGGCATCTAATTCTGGGATTTGAACTTATGTTTTTGATTCAGGTCAGTTTGAACTACTAAGTTGAGAACGTAATTGGCAATTTGCAGTTTAAAAGATCTGGATTTCAACTCCCAGAATTTCCCAGCCAGAATGGGGGGCGGGGTTTGAAATTCAGGCTTCTTAAAATTAAGAAACACTGGCCTACAAGAAGGTATCCAGCTGTTCTTACTATTCAAATTCCCAAAGGGAACAACCATTCAGCTTCTACCCTTCCCAAATCCATTTCTACTTCTGATTTACCTTTTTATCTGTTGCAGGGTCCTCCCGAGTTCTGCTCGATGGCTGATAACCAAAAAGAAGATGAAGGAAGCAAAAGATAGCCTTCTAAGAGCTGCCGCCGCCAACAATCGAGTTATATCTGAGGATGTCATTGATCAGGTACCAAATGCATAATTATTGTGGCGCTCTTTTTGAGGAACATTTTAGAATAGAACACTTTAAAAAAGATCAAAATTGGCTTTATTGCTCTTTTTCCGATGCTATAACTTCTAGTCCCAGCCCCTTATTTGGGTCCTTACCTTTTTCTCCCTGGAGGGATCTTTTGGACAAAATTTCTGGCTTTTGTTCTCCCTGCTTCCTTTTATATAGCCATGATGACTAAAACTTCTGCCCAGCTTTACAAAAACAAGGCTATAAACCTGCATTTTTATCCAACAAGTGCACAGATATTCCTCCACGCCATTCATGTAGTGCCAGAAGTCTCCAAACTTGGCAACTTTAAGACTTAGGGACCAGCTCCCTTCTCCAGCCAGCATAGCCAAGTTTGGAAACCTTTGGTGTAGTCACTCTTCAAAGTTACAGCAACTCTGAAAACATGGACTTGCTCACTAGCACTTAAGACGGTCATAGCATCCTAACCAAAATTTGGGAGCTTGGCAACCAGGATATATTTACAAGACAGTAACTGTGGAATTTGACTCATGTTTTGCCTCTCATTTTGTGGTCATTCCAGTTGGCTCCAGAAAGGAAGGTGCCAAGTAAATGTATCCTAGACCTTTTCAAGAAATCGTACCTGAGGAATATGACTTTGATCATGGCCTGGATATGGTAAGTCTACTTTAAAGGGCATTTTTTAAAAGCCGCACAAAGCAGGTGCATTTTCAATGTAACGTACATGAAAACTAATGCAACTTCTCAGAGGAACCTTGTCCTCTGGTTAGGTTTGTGGACAGTTTGGTGTATTATGAAGTGAGTTTTCACGTTGGCGATTTTGGCCTGAACATCTACTTAACCCAGCTCATCTTTGGAGCAGTGGAGATCCCATCTCGCATCCTCTCCATTTTTCTGCTTCAATGGATCGGAAGGAAGAAGTGTCAGTCCACTTGGCTAGTCCTGGGCGGAATCGTGTGTGTGATGATCTCCGTGTTGCCCAAAGGTACATTAGATATTTGAGGAACCCCAAAACAGCAAAGGTTTATCTTGGGAGTTCAATAGATTGTGAGTGGTTTAATTTTACCAGGATTGGTTGCTTGGGTGCCATAAAAGTTGTTTTTTTTTTACTCTTAGCAATCACATAGGGTTTTTCCCTTCCATCTTTTTCAGCATTAGAGCCCTTTCAAGAGGAAAAGTGAAAAATGCAGGCCTTGACTCCAATTCTTAATTTATGTTTTCCAATTTTATATTTTCTCCTCGGTGGCACCTCATGGGTGACTAAAACCTTCCTGATTAGTGCAGGAATTCAGTAAATGACTAAAACTTTCTCCTGCAAGGGTCACAGCCTAACCCCACTCATGGATTTGTGTGAACTTAGATCCCAGGTTTGAAACTTTCAAATGTTTGTAACCTCTCATATTGGATCTTCTGTGCTCTGTCCTCATTGTTTCCCTCCCACACCAGAATACCCTCTGATTGTGACTGTGTTAGCTGTGATTGGAAAATCTTCCATGGCTGCTGCTTTTTCAACCACCTACCTGTTTTCTGCTGAGATATTTCCCACCGTTGTCAGGTAAAGAGATTATTTATCTATTTATATTGTTTATTTACTTACTAACTTGGTTTATAAAGACATCCGGATCAAGCATTGTAACTGGGCAGCACAAAACAACAAACAACAAAATAACCAAGACATGTGCCTTCCCCAATCTTAAAATAAATGCAATACATAATTTAATTGTTAGCCCTGTTTTTCAAACTTGGCAACTTTTAAGTTATGTGGACTTCAGCTTTTAGGATTCCCAGCAGAGAAGAAGTTCATGTTTGCTTCTCAATTCTTTTTGAAAACTTTTTAGTATAGTAAGGTTGAGTGACTCAATTTCTTTTATTCTATTTCCTCCACCAGACAATTCGGCCTTGGCTTCTGTTCTACGTTTGCTCGAGTTGCAGGCATCCTTGCGCCTTTGCTTGGCATTTTGGCCAAATACCACCTTGCTATTCCTATGTTTACCTGTGGAAGTTTAGCGCTGATTGCAGGAATATTATGCTTTTTCCTTCCTGAGACATGCAACAAAGATCTTCAGGATCTGATAGCTGAGCCTGAGCCTGATCCTGATCCTGATCCTGATCCTGATCCTGATCCTGCACCTGCACCTGCACCTGCACCTGCACCAGTCCAAGAGTGAGTTTATTAAATTTGTTTCTCGAATTTATATGACTGCTAAACTTTCAACCCCCTGGATGGCTTACCATATTAGTCAATGTGGTAATGGTTGTCCCAAAGGTGCTTTTTCGCGAAGCAACTGGACTTCTTTCGTTTTTGTTTCTCATCCAAGAACCTGCTGCTCCTCCTCCTTCTCCCTTCTTCCTTCCTTCTGTTATTTTGTTATTCTCTGAAGCTTCTCAGATAAGAAACAAAATGTTCTCAAAGAAAAGCAAAGTCCAGTTGCCTTTTGAAAAAGCACTTTTGGGACAGAGAAAAAGAGAAAGAAACATTCAAGTGAAGAGTCCAACTTTCTTGAAGATGGCAACTATTCCAAAGATTTATGATGTCTGTCTACTGCTGTGTTTCTCAGTCTTTGCCCCCTTTTTTAAATGGGTGGACTTCAACTTCCTGTTTGTTCTTTTTAGAATCCCAACAATTTACGCTGATTGTCAAGTGGCAATCATGATTGAAGAAGACGAAGTCCCATGTGAACCAACGGTCAGGAGAAGCTATGTGTAGAACCAATAAGTTTATTGAGTTTTGTATTTTACAAACTTGGTTTTACTAACTTGGTTTGTTACATAATCTATTTTTGCTGATTATAAATGTAAGAAATTTTGTATCCTATTCAGAATTATTCTAGTCACAGTTATAACATTGACATAATGTTTTCACATTGGGGGTATTATTTAGATTTGGGGTGCACATAACCTTGGACTAATGAGCTACAACCACCTTCCAGGGATTAGATGATGACTTTAATTTCTTTGTATCTGCATATCAATAAAACTGCATGACAAAAATCGTTGCTGCCTATTGCTTTTCTTTTAAATTTTCTATTTATTAAAATACTGCATTACCTGGTAGTCACTTGGGGTTGGAAATTCAGTGGATCAGAATAATTTTATATTTGGTTTCAAGACACCTTGAAGCAATCGGAACATCCTAGAACATGATTGGCTGGCAGGATTATACTGACCCTGCCAAATCTGTGTATGGATGTGGTTGAAGGACATGCATGGATGTATACAGGTAATTCTCAACTTAGGATGCTCTTTTAGTGATTGTTCAAAGTTACCATGATGCTGGAAAACCTGACTTACTGGCACTTAGGATGTCTATGGAGATTCTCAAATCACCCAGGTCACAGAACAAACAACATTGAATAACAGAGTTAGAAGGGACCTCAGAGGTTCTCTAGACCAACCCCTGCTTGAGCACAAGGCCCTATATCCTTTCAGACAAATGATTATCTGATCTCTCTTTGAAAGCTTCCAGTGAGGGAGTACCCACAACTGCTGAAGTTATTCCAACAGTGCTTTGCAAACTCCCATGGTTTTCAAACTTCAAAAAGCGCCTTTCCAAACTTCACAGTTGTCCCAAAGTTCACAGTTGTCCCAAAGTTGCTTTTCAAAAGGCAATTGGCCTTTTGTGTTTTGTGTTAAACATTTTGTTTCTTATCCAAGAAGCTTCAGAGAATAACAGAGGTTGGAAGTTCTCCACTCCTCTACTCGTTGCAGAGTAGCTTATGCCACCAGACTTGAAATTCTAGACCTAGAAAATCTAGAACTACGCTGTCTTCGGTCTGATCTAAGTATAGTATATAAAATCATACATTGCAATGTCCTGTGCTGAATGCTTCAGCTTCAACCATAACAACACAAGAGCACACAATAGATACAAACTCAAGGTTAATTGCACCAAACTTGATTGCAGGAAATACGACTTCAGCAACAGAGTGGTCAATGTCTGGAATACTCTACCTGACTCTGTGGTTTCTTCCCCAAACCCCAAAAACTTTAACCTTAGACTGTCTACTATTGACCTCACCCCTTTCCTAAGAGATCTGTAGGGGGTGTGCATAAGCGCACCAACATGCCTACCGTCCCTGTCCTACTGTTTCTTTTATTTTTCTTATATGTATCCATGTATTCATAACTATGTTTATACTTATACCTGTTATCTAATAATTGTTTGACTAAATAAAATAAATAAATTAAAAAAAAACATTGAAGGTCTTCTAGTCCAACTCTCTACGCAGGCAGAAAACCTGGTCCCATTTCAGAAAAATGGCTATCCAAACTCTTCTTAAAAGTCTCCAAGCTTCTTCAGCCTGAGATTTCAAGATTAAAAAAAAAAAAACACCACACCCAAGGACGTCCAGTTCCCTTTTAAAAAGCACCTTGGCCATTTAGGGCCATTGCAATTTCCTTACAGTCAGATTATTGTGGTTTGGATGCTTGGCAACTGGCTTTTATGACAGATTTAGCATCTGGGAATAGGGGAGGGGGCAAGGCCCTGTTATTGCCATCGTAACCTTCCCAGGAGGCTTCTGACATGCAGTATCAACATAGGAAGGTATTTTATTTAACCTGGTTAAAAAAAGAGTCAAGTCAAGCACAATCACACGGTGACTCACCTAATGACTGTATTGCTTGGTGACAGAAGTTCTGGTTCAGTGGTGGGATTAAAAAAAAAAAAAATTACCCTTTCTGTGGGCATGGCTTGGTGGGCGTGGCAGGGGAAGGTTACTGCAAAAAAAACCTTCCCTCCCCACCTCATTAACCTACTTTCCAGCTCTGTTCTCCTGTGCAGGGCAACCAAAGAAGACCCAGCCAATCAGCTGGGAGGCAGAGAAGAGATGGGGTTGGCGGGGCCAGTTGGAGGTGGATTTGCCAGTTCTCCAGACTACTCAAAATTTCCACTACCAGTTTTCCAGAACTGGTCAGAACCTGCTGAATACCCACCTCTACTCTGGTTCCAGTTATAGTCACATGCTGAAGAATGTTGGTTTGTGGAGGTTCTAGATCATGGTTATCCCAAAGGTGCTTTGTTTTTTCAAGAAGCAACTGGATTTTCTTGCTTTTTCCTTGAAGACATTTCACTTCTCATCCAAGAAGCCTCATCAGTTCAGACTGATTGTGAATCTACTCAAAACTGAAGAAGCTTCTTGTATGAGAAGCGACACATCTTCAAGGAAAAACAAAGTAAGCCCAGTTGCCTCTTGAAAAAAACACCTTTGGGACTGAGGATTATTTGTACGCATACATTGAGGGAAGAGAACCTTAAGGCAACTTTGCTGACAGCTTTTAGGTGAGCAGAAGACATGGATGCAATGTGCTCAGTCAACAAGGCAGTCTTGGACAGGTAGTCCTTGACTTATGACCATCATTGAGCCCAACATTTCTATTGCTAAATGAGACATTCGTTGTTTGCCCCATTTTATGGACTTTCTTGACACCCCTGTTAAGTGAATCACTGCAGTTAATTTAGTAACATGGTTGTTAAGTGGAACTGGCTTCCCCGTTGGCTTTGCTTGTGAGAAGGTTTTAAAAGGGGTTCAGACGACACCAGGATATTGTGAGCATCATAAATATGAAATAGTTGCCAAACATCTGAATTTTGATTCACATGACCATTGGGGTGCCACAATGGTCATAAATGTGAAAAATGGTCTTTTTTTCCAGTGGTGTTGTAACTTTGAATGGTCCCTAAATGAGCTGTTGTAAGTCGAGGATTTCCTGTACATCCCTCACCCTTTTAGACTGGTCATTCAGCTGTTTTCAAAGATTGCAGCTACATTTTACAGGGTGACAGAGACACTGGTTTGGGGGAAGAGGGAAAGAGCTCCAGATTAGATCCAGATGGATCTTGACAGACTATAACACTGGGCTGTATCTAACAAAATGAAATTCAATGTAGAGAAAAGTCCTACACCTAGGCAAGAGAAACCAAAAGTACACATATAAACTGGGTGAAACCAGGCTCAATAGCAGTAACTGGGAGAGGGATCTTGGAGTCTTAGTGGACAACCAGCTAAATAGGAGCCAGCCGTGTGCAGCAGCAGCCAAAAAAGCTAATGCAATCCTAAGTTGTATTAACAGAGGGATACAGTCAAGATCAAGGGAAGTATTAATACCACTCTGTAAAGCCTTAGTAAGGCCACACCTAGAGTACCGCATCCAGTTTTGGTCACCACACCATGAAAAAGATTTTGAGATTCTAGAAAAGTGCAGAGAAGAGCAACCAGGATGATGAAGGGGCTGGAGGCTCAAACTTACGATGAACGGTTGCAGGAACTGGGCCTGGCTAGTCTAGGGAAGAGAAGGACCAGGGGAGACAGGAGAGCAGCCTTCCAATATCTGAGGGGCTGCAGCTATTTTCTAAAGCCCCTGTAGGCCAGGCAAGGAATAATGGATGGAAACTGAACAAGGAGAGATTTAATCTGGAAATAAAGAGAAACTTTCTGACAGTGAGAACAATCAACCAATTGATTGTTGGTGTAGGATCTCCTGCTTGGGGTTGGGCTACAAGGTCCCTCCCAACCCTAATTATCTGTTATCCGTTAGAGAACCAACTATGCAACTTACCAATGTCTGCATATCCTGTTTTAAAAACCTTGGACTTCTGCCTCTGGGATTGTTGCAGAATATTTCTTGACGGGAAAGGTTTAAAATTTTTAAAGCTTAAAGAGAAGAAGGGAAAGCAAATGATTTGTTTTGGAGAGTCAGCAGAAAGTGAATTGCACACTAGGGAGAATGCGGCCTGGTAGAGAATCCCATACAGACCCTGAAGATGGCTGCCAAATTGAAAGAGCAGCATTCCAGCTGCAAATAATAATAATAATGAAATAATAATAATAATAATAATAATAATAATAATAATAATAATAATAATAATAATAATAATAATAATAAATAGCCTGCAAAAAGGAAGAAACTTTTGGATATAGAGGAGAGAAGGATGAGCTGGTTGGGCATCTCTGATGTTAATTTAGAATAGAAGAACAGAGTTGGAAGGGACCTTGGAGGTCTTATAGTCCAACCCCTGCTTAGGCAGGAAACCCAGACAAAGGGTTCTCCAATCTCTTCTTCAAAACTTCCAAAACTTCTGGAGGCAAATTGTTCCACTGGTTAATTATTTCTCACTTTTAGGAAATTTCTCCTTAGTTCTAAGTTGCTTCTCTCCTTGATTAGTTTCCACCCATCACTTCTTGTCCTGCCTTCAGGTGCTTTGGAGAATAGCTTGACTGCCTCTTCTTTGGGGCAGCCCCTGAGATATTGGAGCACTGCTATCATGTCTCCCCTGGTCCTTCTTTTCATTAAAATAGACATAACCATTTCCCGCACGCGTTCTTCGTGTGTTTTAGCTTCCAGTCTCCTAAATCCTCTTTCTTGCTCTTCTCTGCATTCTTTCTAGAGTCTCAATATCTTTTTTATATCGTGGTGACCAAAACTGGATGCAGTATTCCAAGAGTGGCCTTACCAAGGCCTTATAAAGTGTTATTAACACTTCACATGACCTTGATTCGTGATCACAGTGTAGATGGCAACACAATACAGGTGAAGCAGGAGGAGGAATCTTGCAAGACCAAGATTTGCAGCAAATGGGCTGGTGCAAAAAATGAATGTTTGGGGATGCTCAGTCAGGGATCTGACACAACATTTGGAGGAGAATGCTGAGTATAGTAGTCCTCGAATTACAACCACAATTGAGCCCAGCATTTATATTCCTAAGTGAAACATTTGTTAAGTGAGTTTTGCCCACTTTTGCAACCTTTCCTGCAACAGTTGTTAAGTGAATCACTGCAGTTGTTAAGTTGTTAAGTGAACCTGGCTTCTCCCATTTGACTTTGCTTGCCAGAAGGTCACAAAAGGGGATCAAGTGATCCCCGGGACACTGCAACCGTCATAAATATGAACCAGTTGCCAAGCGTCTGAATTTGGATCATGGGACTCTGGGGATACCACAATGGTTGTTAAGTGTGAAATGTCAGTCCCTTTTCTCCGTGCCATTTTAACTGAATGGTCACTAACGAACTTATTCACTTAGTGACAGAATAATGCTGGAGTTATTTTTCTCTCTTTCCATTCTTCTTTCTAGGGTTTTGCAAGGCTAGGGTTAAAAAAAAGTTCAGATGGTGACCACAGTTTTCACTCCCACCCCAAAGACAGGATTTGAATTCATGCCGTGGCCTCCATTTTGACTTTTTTGCCTCTATCCCTGCAGACACCCCTACTAGGATGTGGGGAAAAAAGCACAGAAGACACAGATGAAATAAAAGGAGTCAATGAACAATATAAAAGACACGGATTCTTCCTTAAAATCAATATCTGGAGGAGGAGTTTTCTTCTTCTTCAAATAATTCATTTATTAAAGCATTGAAATAAAGAGAATGAACACTTATACAAAAGAAGAAGATGAAAGGAACACTGTGGATAAAAGATTAAGCATCATTAAATGGCCAAAGCTTTTGTAAGTATGATAACATTTGAAGTTTCATCCTTTCCTCATTTATTTGTTAAATTTACAAAGCTCAGTTCATTCATTCATTATAAGAAATCACTAGCAATCTCTATAAAACGCTACCCATAATGTTTTTGATATACGGTTATTGCTAAAAATCAAAAGTGGTAGAAAAGGAAGAAAAAGGGAGGAAGGGGGGAAAATCAGAAAAAGAGGGGGAAAAGGAAAGGATCAATTAAAAAAAGAAAAAGAACAATAAAATCAATATTAAAATTGCTTTGTGGGATTTTCTTCCATCCAGCCCTGCACCGTTTCCTGGAGCGAAATAGCATAGGTACGACGTACGCTATTTGGCCCAGCAATTTTTAACTGATCGACCCACTTATAAACAATCTTGGCTGTCTTTCAGGTTTCAAATTCGACTTACAACCACAACTGAGCCCGACATTTCTCTTGCTAAGTGAGACAGCTGTTAAATGAATTTTGACCCATTTCTCGCCACCGTTGCTAAGCGAATCACTGCAAATGTTCAGTTGGTCACAAGGTTGTTAAGTGAATCTTCTCAGAAGATCGCAAAAGTTGTTCACATGACCCCGGGACACTGCAACTGTTATAAATATGAGTCAGATGCCAAGTGTATGAATTTTGATCAAAGGACCATGGGGGATGCTGCAATCATTGTGTGTGCGTGAAAAAGGGGCATAAGTCACTTTTTACCAGTGCGGTGGTAACTTTGAACAGTCACTTATTGAACTGTTGTAAGTCGAGGACTAGCTGTAAAGGGAAAATAACTGTATAAACCCCCAACAGCATCTCCCCTAAGGACGCTGGGGAGACAGAAAACTGCATCCTCTGTGTATATAGAATTATGACCGATATATTCGCTTTTTTTCTCTGGGTCTAATAAGGCAGGATGGAGGGAGACATATCATCCCTAGTTTCTCAGCATACAATCATGTCTTGGTTTTAATTGACCCCACTTTTCATTTTTATTTTATCCTCAGGGAAAAAGGAGGAAATTGAAATGATAGTGTGTTTCCCTGGGGTGAGTAAAAGCAATTTCCTTTCTGCAAAATAATGACTGTTCAGGGTTTCTTTCCCTACCTTATAAAGAGTTAAAACAACCGAAAGAGATGAAGCGATCCGCGGTTGGGCAGAAGTCTAAATAACCTTTGCTTTCCGTCAATCTTTTTCAGGTTTTCACGGGCTAAGAAGGAGTGAGGATAACATAAGTGAGATTTTAAGAGACAGGTAGTTAGACTAGTTTTTATTTAATGTCACCACCTATCATGCTATTGGGGCAAAGTGAGGATTAAAATATAGAGGTAGCCCTGGATATATGATCACTTGTTTAATGACAGTTCCAAGTTATGTCAGTACAGGTAGTCCTTGGCTTACAACAGTTCGTTTAATGACTATTCCAAGTTACAATGGCACTGAATGACCATTCTTCCCACTTACGACCATTGTAATGTCCCCAAGTTCAGGTGATCAAAATTCAGAGGTTTGGCCATGGACTCACATATATGAGGCTTGCAATGGCGCAGGATCTTGCGTCCCCTTTTGCGACCATCTGACAAGCGAAGTCAATGGGGAAGCCAGATTTCGCTTAACAACCATGTTACTAACTCAACAACTGCAGTTAACAACGGTGGCAAGAAAGGTCGTGACATGCGGTAAAAACCAGTTAACAACTATCTTGCTTAGCAGCAGCCTCAATTGCAGGCCTGAGTCAAGGGCTACCTGTATTTTTTCTATTACCTTGGTTTGATTTCTGTTGGGTTTAGCATTGAGCCATAAGCCACCAAGAGGGATAACTCCAACAGAAATACATGCACCAAATACATGCATGTTCTCCTATAATTTCCGGAAGGAAGTTCTGGCAAAAATTTATGGTTATGCAGATAATTCTCTATTTGCGGCTGCAGTTGTGCGCAAGATTGTTTTTTGCCCTAAAGAAGAGGCTGTTAAGATAGTTGTGTTCGATTTTTCAATTTTCTTTTACCGTGGTTGTTAAGCAAATAACTGCAGTTGTTAAGTGAAACATGCAGTTATTCAACGAATCTTGCCTTGTCTATTGACTTTGCTTGTTGCAAGCTGGGTCGGAAGGTCACCTGTGGAGATCACATAACTCTGGCAAAAAAAAAACCACTGCAATCATCATAAACACAACCAAGTTGTCAAGCGCCCAACTTTTGATCAGGAGACCATGGTGTCATAAATGTGAGGACCTGCCGTAAGTCCCTTTTTTCAGTGCTGTTGTAACTTCGAACGGCACTAAACAAATAGTAGTAAGTGATATGTGTGTTTGGGTGTCTACAGGAGCACGAACAAGAAGGGTGCTTCATCAATTTGGTTTAGATTTAACTCAAGTTGTTCTTAAAACACACTAAGTCTCAGTTGGAACTCTGTAAGCACTGGGTGTCAAAGGTTATTGCAATTGTTCTTGTGGATGTCTACTCTCTAACACTTGAATTTTGTCCTCTGGCGGACTTTTATGTGACCTTTCTGTAGCCTTGCTCTGGAGGGTGTCTCGAAGTAGCTCAGGCATGGATTGAGCTGGAATAAGCACAGGGTGGAAATGATTTTCTTTAATGGAGTAATTCTCATTAGCGGCTTCTTCAATGTGCAGAGTTGGTTTAAAAGGATTATCTGAATCCGACTCCAGTGCCTGGAAATTTCCACTTTCTGGAGGTTGATTGTTCCTAAGGCTGTCCTCTCTGATCACCATGATTGGCTCCAACTCTGCAAACTGTGGATGGCTGATCCCCAGAAAGTTTTCTGAGCAAAAATGATCTTTCACGTGTACAAATTCTGTATCTGATCCAGAAGAGGATTCTGCATTTTCCTTCTCTGTGCTTGCTGATTCTTCCATCCCCTTAAAGGATGAAACCATATCAGGGACCCCAATCTCCTCATCCAATGCCTGAGTTTCATCTTTTGCCAAAGGGTGCAATAATGAAACATTTCTTGCCTTTATCTCTAAATCTTGACTGTCCACATCGTTCGATTCCTGCTCAGAAATAACATTTCTGCAAGAAACACTTGTCTCCACCAAAGTATTGGCAGAATACTGTGACGCGTTCTCTGTAGACGCCACACAACTCTGAAAACTAGTTAACGCTAATGATTTTTCAGGGTCCTCCACTGTATGTTCTGCATTTATATTTGATTGCCTCAGAACGTCAAGGGGCTTTGATCTAGGCTGCATTTGTGTGGTAGTTGAAATCTCTCTTCCAAGGTCCAAAAAAACTGTATTAACACTGTCCAGGGGTGGAGAATTCCTATTTTGATTTCCTTTTGAGCCAATTCCATGACTTTCCTTTGAATCTTGTGGGTCTGCCTCTGAATTCCTTGTCTTGAGAGCCATTCCGGAGTTCTCATCTTTCTTGGAAAAATCAGGTTTGGATAGGCTTAAGAAATGTGTAGGTTGTAAATCTACTTTTCCCGAAAGTTCTCCTAACTCTTTTCTTGGCTTTTCCTTTTGACTTTTGTCTTTACTATCTGAATGTCCAAACAGGGTGAGCAAAGCAGAATGAGTCTTGGCTGCTTTCTTGGTTCCTGAAATTGGCTTTTGGCTGGGAATACTTCTTTGTGTTTTGGGTGCAAAAAACTGAGCAAAAGGATTGTTTTGTTTTTTTAACGATTGTTTTTTGGAAGGCTCCGCTGTAATATCTTGATTTGTCGCCGGGACACTTTCGTGTTGAGCTTTGGTTTCCATCGTTACGTGTCCTGTCTCCTCTTTTTCTATCAAATCTAGGACTTCACAGGAAGGCAGTATTTCTGGATCTTTGGCAGAAGGCAGAAAACTGATATCTCTAGAGGTGTCTTCTTGGAATGCAAGTTCTAGGTGAAGTCCACTGCTGGCGTTTGCTTGCAGCTTTCCATTTGTGTTTGTGATTTCAGGAGTAGGTTCTGGGTTGCAGATCAAAGTAGCATGTTCTTGTAGGCTATTTCTGGGTAGAACTTCCCCGTTTTCAACATCATCTGCTTGTAAGCTGGGTAATGAGTCACCATCTTCTATGTTCCCAGCTTTGGCTGAAGAACTGGTTCTACCTTTAGCTCCAGTGTCCAGAGACACAGGAAAGCACGTTAGAGTCGCAAACTTGTCTGAGATTGCTCTTGGGTGCATTTCATCCTTTTTATCTTCTTTGCTTAAAGGGAGGGTTTCAGGAGAGAGTTGGTCGTCCATACTTGGTCGTTTTTCAGGTTGCAATATTTCAGTCTCTTCTTCAAGGAACTCATTCCTGGTCATCCAAGATGGTTTTGGTTCCTGGTTAGTTTCCAGGCAGGGCTTCACTGGATCCACGTTGAAAGTCTTCTTGCTATGATTGTTCTTCTTTTCCTCATGGCCAGGAGAAGATACCAAACCTTCAGGCTTTGATTGGGAGGGTTCCTCATTTTGCATTGATACCATGGTGCCATCACTTGGTTCTTCTGCATCTTTACTTTCTAGCGTGTCCGGTGTATTTTTCTGGCTGGCTTTTTGAAGTTTCTTCTTTGATCTCTGCTCCAGAGGTGGCACCAAACCTGGTAACGTTGTCCTGATTTTAGGAAGAGGTTTGACCACCTGCCTTGGATTCTTTCCATCAGAGGTGACCTTCCAGGAGGAATCTCCACCAGGTTGGAGATCACCTTGGAAACAATCTTTTGCAAGTTGAGGAGCACCTCGTGTTGTGGCTGCAGGTGTCACTGTAGTATGTCTAAGTGCTCCTTCAGAAGATAGAAATGTACCACCGAGTGAAGACCTTGCAAGGTTCAGTGATAAAGAGGTCACCTTGGAAGTGCTTCTTTCAACTCCAGAGGTGCTAGTTTGGAATCTCCTGGCCTTTTCTAATAGGCTGGGCCCTGTTTTTCCTACTTGAACTCCTACAATTCCTTCATCCACAAACAATTGTCTATTTTCCAGTGCTCCCAGTTCTTGATTTCCATGTCCTTTTTTAATCCAGTGCAAAACTCGGTCCCTACATTTTGGGCCAATGACTCTGGGAAGTTGGCTCTTCTGTTCCCCCAAACTTTCTGGTATGAAATTATCTTCCCAGGTCTTGTAATAACTCCTATCTGACCTTTGGGGACTACGCAGAATCACTGTAGAATCTTGTGTTTCTTTTATTCCATATTGCTCATGTTTTCTGCCAGTATAACTTTTAGCATCTTTCTTTAAAGGTGAGCAGAGGGCTTTTGGCTTGCCTTGTGAGGTCACCTTATCACTCTGGTTACCCTGGAGATGTAAATCGGAAGGTCTCTTTGGCATTTTCTCTCGAGCCAAAATCCTTCCAGCGGAGCCACTCTTCGTTTGAGATTCTTGTCTTGGATTTGACTGGGTGCCTTTCAGTGGAAGCTGCTGATGGTTTGGGCTGAGGGTGGAGTTGGGGCCTCTTTTTCCTCTAACTTCAGCAACCAGCTTGGAACAAACTTTGCAGTAGAAAGCTCCTTGGAAGACTGCATAGTTGAGCATGCTGCAAAACACACATGGAGATACATAATTATTTCTATTATTTTGACAGCTTAAATAGCATCATTTGAAGCAAGAATACCATAGCAAGGAGAAGAATATGCAGTTTACTGGGCAGACAAGGAATAAGTATGTTATCTATATCAAAAGTGATTTTTATTTTTGGAAAGGCAACTGATGTGATTTTTTTTTTAAGGAAGAAAAAAATAAACAGCCCAGTTGCTTTTTCAAAAATAATAAAAAAAACATTTTCGATATCACTATGTCCTAAATGACTGTGAATTTTCATAGACATTTACTTCATCAATAACCTTCTGTGTTTCTTGGAGTGTTTTTATATGATCTAAATACCCGCAGGTGAAAAAAATAACAAGGCCCCTGAAGGATTTACTAGCTTTGAACGTTAACCAGTTTCCATCTTCTGATTCTACAGTTGGTTTGCAAACCCAGTTTTACTACTGACACGGATTATGATCTTTCTGTTTGAAAAAGTTGACACCATAACTTGACTCTACATCTCTTTAAAAGAAGTTGAGGAAATTCTTCTAAATACTTTAAAAAATGGACAAAACATATCATGGTCAGTTCCCACTCCAATCGTATCAGTGAGGTCAGCAATCATTTTAGTTATTCATTCATACCCCAGCTTTCTTCTTCTTCTTTTTGTGTGTAAATAATTAAAGGTGGTAAACATATATAATAATTTTCCTCCCATTCTTCTCCCATTTTCCTTCCTATCCTTGTGAATTGGGCTGAGAGAAAGGGACTAGCCCAAAGTCATTCAGCTGGCTTTTATATCTAAGATAGGACTAAAACTCAGTCTTCCAGTAATATTATCCAGCTGGTTTTCATGGTGATTGGTCCAAAGTCCCCCAGTTGGCTTACCTGGCTAGGGCGGGACTAGAACTCACAGACGGCTAGTGATTGGGTCAAAGTCACCCATGCTGGTTTTGATGGGTAAGATGAGGCTAGAACTCAGGTCTCCTGGTGATTGACTCAAAATCCCCCAGTCAGCTTACATGGCTGAGGCAGGACTAGAATTCACCGTCTCCTACCTTCTAGGTAGTAGTCCTCATATTGTAACTGCACAGTTAGCCACTATCTAAAGTTACAGTGATGATAAATGAGGAGACTTACTAGTGGTCCCATCCAGTGCAGCATCCCATGTTTGCATTGATTGCAAATCAAGAGTTTGGTGCATGGCTTGCAATTGCAATGTCACCATGAATCATGGTCACTTAATCACAATTTCTGATGTTCTGTGAAGCCTTCTGTCAAACAAAGTCAATGGGGAAGCCAGCAGGAAGTCTGAGTTCATGCCACTTTTTTCACCAAAAAGCCTGCACTCAGTAGCACCTGCCCATAGCTCTTAACCACAATTCTTCATCCACTAGGTTGCTTGGCCTGGGATTCTTGTCTCTTCCCATGTTGCAATCATGTGAGGTCCTCATTTAATGACCCACATAATCCTGGCATTATATCGGGCCTGCTGGGATTTGCTATTGCTAACCGACGTGGTCACATGACCTCAAACACTACAATTGTATCGCTTGGCAATGAAAATTCCAGTCCCAACTGCCGTTGTAACTTGAGGACTACTTCTATAATTCTCCCACACATACACAAAAAGTTGGCTATGAGACTAATGAGGATGCCAGTTTTAAAATTTCGTGACTCACCTTAGATTCCTTCTACAATGCTGGCAGCAGAAACACATCTGGTGCATAGGAATATTTTGGATAAGCAGGCGCTGTGTTGGGTTGACTGGCACGCAACATAGTGCACATATTTCCTGTGGTTCTACCTGAAACAAGAAGGCAGGAGCAAGCCCAGATATTCAATAAAGTGACTGTAATTTTTATCGGGTTGATCTATTAAGAATAGGGCAGAAATTGCACCTCGACCAAAACCGGCTGGGCAAATTTACTATACATAAACAGGAAGCAAACCCCACATCTATTTGCACTGATGATGTTACTTAGATGGGTAATGAAATGTCTTCCAGAACAACCAAATTTAGAATCACTGACTCATCAGTTGTAGTGACTCAATTTATGGAAAAATTGAGTTGCTATAACAAGGACAGGAAATACCAAGGCAATGTTCAAATAAGACGGGATTGAACCCAGGTCGCGAAAGTAACTTGGGAATCCATCTCAGGCCCTCCTAGTTCCTAGGGAGGGAGGGAGAAACACATTCAGGTTTGCAAAATTCTGTTTTTTCAACTATTACCCTAAAAGAGATCCTGACCTGTACAGGAAATCCTCAACTCATTACCTTATTTGTGCCAAGGCTTTGGCCATCAATTGTGATCGTCATATAATGAGTCATTGCATGAACTCGCCCAATTTTATGCAAAAAATTTTTTTTGCAGCAGTTGTTAAGTGAATGCGGGGGTCATAAAGTGACAGTCGCTAAATGAATCCATTATTTGCTATGGGGTGTTTGCCCCCCCACCCAGAAACAGGAAGTAAATGCTGGTTTCCAGAAAAATAATAATAATGTGTGATATAATGTCAATGGGGAAGCCAAATTCACTTAACATCCTTGTTCCTCACTTAACAACTACAGTGATTCACTTAATGACTCTGGCAAGAAAGGTCATAAAAGAGGGAAAATTAACAAATATCCCACTTAATAAGAGAAATTTAGGGTTCAATTGGGATGGTAAGTTGAGGACTTCCTATATAAATGGGGGCCGGTTGCAAAATGCTCAAATCATGGATATGGGGAGAGGAATTTGAACACTGGAACTTTGAATCCGAATTGTAAACCCCCTTTCTAGGGTCTGTCGTAACTTCAAAAAATAGCTAAGAAACGGATTGTAAGTCAAAGACTTTATAGCATTTAGTCATGTTCACCATGTAGGAAAAATCACATTTCACTTATTTTGGCCATGTGTATATACCAGAGATGGTATACAGCTGGTTCTGACCAGTTCTGAAGAACCGGTAGCGGAAATTTTGAGTAGTTTGGAGAACCAGCAAATCCCGCCTCTGACTGGCCCCGCCCCCATCTCTTCTCTGCCTCCCATTGAGTCCCAGTTGATTGGCTGGGTTTTCTTTGGATGCCCTGCACAGGAAAACGGAGCTGGAAAGCAGGTTAGTGGGGTGGGGAGGGAATGTAGATTTTACAGTGTCCTTCCCCTGCCATGCCCACACCAAGACATGCCACGCCCACCAAGCCATGCACACAGAACTGGTAGCAATTTTTTTTGAATCCCACCACTGGTATATAAGTAGTTACTTTATAAATGAGAGCTGCACCCTTAAGGGAATGCTTCATGGGAAATGTAGTTAATACCTCATGTGACATGTAGTTCATGTCATGTGGTCACATCTGCAATCCTGATTGGTCACTGAATTGTTCTCTGGTTGGGCTGGGGGAGTTTTTTGGGCATTCTTACCTGAACCCAGCATCGAAGGGGAGATGTCCTTTGCTATAATGTTATGGGATGGAGACAATCATTTTTTCACCCTAGGGAGGCAACTATTGAGGCAAAGATTGGACATTAGATGAATCTCAACATAACTGTGAGTTGTACTTTGAGGATGCCTAATAAATCCAATAAATTAACTTTGCAGGGAAGCCTTTGTAGTGTTTAACAGCTGTCCCACAGGAGCGTAGGGGCATGAAAGTGAACTACATTTGCCATGAAGTATTCCCTTAAGGGGGGCAGCTCTCATTCCTAAACTATATACTGTCTAACCAGCACAGGCCACCTCACGGAGGGGAATCCACTGGAGAAAGCAATTATGCTTAGAAGAATTAATGGTGCATTTAGTCCTTGACTTACAATAATTTGTTTAGTGACCACTCAAAGTTGCAACAGTACTGAAAAAAAAAGATCTATGCCTGTTTCTCACACTTACAACCCTTGTAGCATCCCCAGGATCATGTGATCAAAATTCAGGTGCTTGGCAACTGGTTCATACTTATGACCGCGGCTGTGTCACATGGCTGAGGTTCTTTTGCAAGAAAAGTCAATGAGGAAGTCAGGTTCACATCACAACCTGTTACTAATTTAACTGCAGTGATTCACTTAAAATCTGTGGCAAGAATGGCTATAAAATGGGGAAAAATTCACTTAACTGTCTTAACAACAGAAAGCTTTGGGCTCAATTGTGATCATAAGTGGAAGACTACCTGTAAAAGGAAAATAGGCTATCAAAGAACATGGTAGCTGGATACCATCAAAACTGACCCCAGCCAGACCATAGAAAAACTCAAAGAAAGCATTGCAAGATTGCAAGATGTGGAAAGACCAGGCCGATCGAATCGCCAAAGAATTGGACCCAATTGAATAGATGATGCCTTATGCCTTTGTAGGGCTGACATCAAGAGGTATTCCCAGGTAAGGACATAAAATTTAGGATAATGGCTGGGACACGACAACTGAAGCTCCTGCTGTTCTTAATGTGCAACCCAATGCACAAAGCATAGCTGGAGCTTTGATCACAGGGTTGCATCAGCACCACGAAATCTGGACCTCCCACAAAGGCAGACCGCCAAATTTCCATGGCTTTCCGTCAAATTTGGACAATTCAAGAGGTTGCAAACGTGGATAATGGATTGTCAGTAGTGTTAGCCAGGGAAGTAGTAAATGCATACGTCGTGATGTTTCTGAGCAGGGACTGGATTGTTCTAAGTCACCTTGGGGCCAGGGGTAGTGAGCAGGGGAAGCTTATTGGGAACAGAAAGAGAAAGTTTGATCGAAAGGTTAAGGCATCAGGTGAGAAACCAGGAGATGGTCAGTTCTAGTCCTGCCTGAGGCATGAAAGCTGGCTTGAGGACTTTGGGCCAATCACCAGGAAACTGGGAGTTTTAGTCCTGCCTTTGGCATCAATGATTTTGGAATAATCAATAGGAGACGGTAAGTTCTAGTCCTGCCTTTGGCCTGAAAGCCGGCTGGATGATTTCAGGACCATCACTAGGTGACAGTAAGTTTTAGTCCCACCTTAGGCATGAAAGCTGGCTGGGTGACTTTTGGCCAGTTGTTCTTTTGCAGCCCAACTCACCTCACCGAATTGTTTTTGGGAAAATAGGAGGAGGCAGGGGTATTATTGTATTTTATAGCCTCATGCTACCTATGGAGTAACAAAGGCAGGATAAACACCCAACAAATAGTTAAACATTGTCAGAAGTAGCTTTATCCTGAGACTTTCTTTTGGTTCTCCAACTTTCTGGAGTTCCAGGCAGAAGAAGATTGGTGAATTCTTCCCCCTAGACCTGGCCCCATTGAAGTGGATGTGAGTCCCATCAAAGGCAATCAAAGGTTCCAGTCTGCTAGCAGATTCCTGCTCCCATAGGAGGCCATCCCCATCTTTTGAGGGCCTGGAGATGTTTGGTTCCCCCCCAGTGCCCCTTTCTTCCTCACGTCTTCTCTCTGATCATGTTCACGGGCTTTTGGGGGAGGGGAAAAAACGCAAATATTATTCAAGTAATCCTTGGCCTACGGAAGTTCATTCAATGATCATTCATAGATGAGACGGCACTGAAAAGTGTGAGTTATGAGTAGGACCATTTTTCACACTTACTGTCATTGGGGTAGCCTCATGGCCATATCATCAAAAAAGCAGACGCTTGGCAACTGACTTGTATTTATGACGGTTGCAGTGTCTCAGGATTATGTGATTCCCTTTTGCGACTTTCTGATAAGCAAAGTCAATGGGGAAGCCAGATTCACTCAACAGCTGTGTTACTGAGTTACAACTGAAGTGTGTCCACTAAAAAATACCTCTTTGGTCTTTTTAGTTGCTAGCAGAAAGGGAGTGGGAGAAAGCAGTGCATTCCTTAAATGCTTCAGATAATCTCCTTGGCAGACCAAACCAGTTGGCGCTCAAGATTATTACTGGAGAACACGATTGATGACTCTTGGCTATGAATGTGTCCCATTGGAGAATATACATCCAGGGGGTGGGGGGAAGATTAGGGTCAAAGGGGAAAGGAAGGATGCATTTTAGTGTCGGCCGCACCCAGCTAACGCTGACATGGTCACTCCTAATAAATCTCTTTTTTTTACTCTGAGAGATATGGCTAGAGACTTATGATTTGAATGAGGGTGGATTTGTTGGAGCCCTGACACAGTGACTCACTTAACAACTGTGACAACAAAGGTTGTAAAATGGGACAAAACTCACTTACTAAATGTCACAACAGAAATTTTGGGTTCAATTGTGGCCATAAGTCAAGGACTAATCAGATATGTGCAGGATATTGCACTCCACTTAGAGGGGATGTTGATTAAAATAGCAATAGCCCTTAGACTTATATAGCATTTCACAGCCCTCTCGAAGCGGTTTACAGAGTCAGCCTATTGCCTCCAACAATCTGGCTCCTCATTTTACCAATCTCGGAGGGACAGAAGGCTGAGTCAACCTTGATCCAGTCAGGATTGAATTGCTGGCAATCGGCAGAGTTATCCTGCCATACTGCATTCTAACCACTGCACCACCAGGTCTCTGCAAAAGCTACGTGTGGCTGGTTTAAGCAAAACACTGCTTAGCGTAAAGTGCCAATACCGTTAAAAATGCTTCTGGTGAAACAGCGCGTGAGCAGATGGTCAAATGTATTTATTATTTATGTATTATTTGTTAAGTAAATTTATATAGCCACCCAACTGACACTTAAATGACTCCGGGAAGCTTACAGCATTTAAAAAACCCACCTGATAATTAAAAAAAACAACCCCATGAATTCAACCCCCATTCTCCTCAGTGGGGTACAACAGTGTGGGAGCCAACCGTACCTCAGGGAGAA